CACACCCCCATCTCCTCTGCGCATGTTTAATCAACCAGTATGGTTGCCATGCCAACCACAGCACAAAATCTGCGAATAGGCCGGGTACATCAGAGCCGTGACCCACTTACTGTATGTCAACAAATTCAGTGGGACAATAGTGAATGAGACACACTATACACAGATAACCCCTCTGGGCAAAAGGACGTTACAGGCCAGGTCCAAAACCCCTTCCGCTGATTTCATCTTTTTATTTATTTTTTTTCGCCGAGAGATGGAGGAGGCTGCACATGACTGCGTGACTGCTGAGCAGGGACGAGTCTTTTGTCTGCGTCAAATTCACTTCACAGGAACTTAAGGGCAAATGTCACAAACTCAGAGCAGGGCTGTTCTTTTACTCTGAATTATTACACTTGACTTTATAAGAAGCCAAAACCAAGAGGTTTAAGGATTGAAGTCACAGATACTTAACAATAGATCTTTATAATAACCTGTCTTTGGTATCTGATTGAATTTGTACAATTGCGTTCAATTCACAACTGTTTCCACATGCTCTCCTTTGAAAAGAATGATGTTGAAGTTTAATTTAATTATTTTAACTTTTGAAAGTCTGTCTTTGAAACGATAGGAAAAACACTATAAAATGCCCATTTATGTGTCTAAATTGTATTCTTACAATTCAATTTAAACAGTTAAAAGCAACTATGGGAGTACAATCATATTACAATCTTCTCACATTGACATATTGGACACCTATTATCCTGGATCTAAAAACCTAAAGCAGTGAGTCATTCCTGTGAGAACAATAAGAAACCCTCCAAAGTTCTCCAGTAATACACCCAACAAAGAACAATTGGTGGAACTCCCCTGACTTCTGCTTGGCTCGGGCAAATTAGGATTTAGAACAATGAGGGACAGAGAGAGAAAGAGGGGAGGGATGTTGTGTTCTGTAGCTCGACTAGAAATCACTGTTGATATTTAGAGGCCGTCACGGGACACAAACTCTCCATTGATGTGTTTACCAGTTTAATTAATTAGGATAAGAAGCTCTTAAAGGCAACATTATCAGCCCGACTGAATGACAGGAAAACTTAAGCTGCTACTACCAAGAAATGAAATAACACTTTCACAAACACAATATTAAGCCCTAAAATGAAATGCTTATTGCAAAAATGATTATGTATCACATAGACTATAAATTTACAGTTGAGCAAATGTCTGTTTGTTTTTTTGGCAAAGGTGTTTGCTCAATTCCAGGCTTGTCAGTTATGGTCATGTACTGTATATTAGCAAATACAGTGTTGTATATTCAATATATATATGTATATGGCTTATTCTGAATTCACCAAGCCTGCAAATTTCCCATTTGTTGCCAGAGATGTTATTTAAAAAGCATTAAGTTCATGCAGCAAAATTCTGCTTTCTGTTTTGTTCATTCACTGACAAAAACCTTGTTGTGTCTTATGAAAATTAATTAGAAATATTAATAACATTCTCAACATTTAATATGTTCCCAAGTTAGTAGCCTTATCAAACAAACGGGAGGTGGTGCTTTGCAGAGTAGATTCTTGGCTAAGGAAAGGTGAACAGTTGGGCCTTTCTTCAGATTTTTCATTCAGTGCTATAACAGAACAAATGTTAACTACATCTCTAGAATATTCTACCTCATTTTCTTATGCACTTACTGTGCTCATTTGCAAGACTCAAATCATTTCAACCCTGAGTTCACATGAGTGGAAAACTGCTTTGTCAACCAAAGGGTGTTGGTCTGCACCCTGTTGCTCTTGGCCCTGTTTGGCACATGGTGTGTGCATTGCTACATTTGGCTAGCAGCTGAAGTGAGCAGCTCCCACCTGGTGCGTCTGACGCATAATCAGAGATTTGCACTTTGAGAAAACGACGACAGAAGGACATTAGCATGCTGTGAGTGCACTCGTTGACACCTACACCTTGTCTCAGGTTGAACTACCTATTTGTTCACAGTTTGCCATTAGCTAGGATGGTGATGTCTGTGTCAGGTTTAGTCAGTAGAGTCATACTGAATCGTCCTTTAAGAATGTCACACATAGTAAAGGTAGTAACCAGTTGACATTAAAGCCCCTTTAAAACAGAGCTGCCTCATCCATAAGAAAATTTGGCTTGACATTCATAAGCTTTTAAAATTGTTATGGCCGCACAAGATATTGTTGTAGTGCTTGTATTTGAGAATTTGCTCTGAGCAATGTTTGCCAGATTATTCAGCGTATCCCTGTGTTAACTCTACCTCTGTCCTAACCTTTGATGCACTGAAGTTAGCTCTGGGGCAGAGCAACAGAAATCATCTTAGGTTTTTTGCTATTTTACTTAGTCATTTAGTACCACCTATGATCCTGGGGCACAACTTGAAAGTAGCAGTAGAGTATGAGCAACGATTCTTACTTTTACTAACAATTACATGAAATGAAAGTGATATATACAGAGAAACGTGACATCTTTAATGTTCATCATCACGTCAATCTGTTATCTTCTCAAATGCAGAACTGTCAGTTCCCAAGTCAATCATTTGATAAAAGTGTACCAGGCTTTCTTGTTCTAACACATTTATCTTACATTGTGTCACTTGACACAATCTGAAATTCTCCTGAAAAATTGTATCATCATCTCTGTGAAGCCTAGTGATAGATGGGAACGTGAATTTTAATCTACTAATATCACTGGCTTTTCACTGACAAGGAAAACTTACACAACCTTCCTAAGGGTTAGAGAGGAACCTTTTAGTTTGTATATAAACTGAGTTAATTCATAGTATTGTTGAGGTAAATGTTACTGTCAAATTAATCGTGATATCATAACTTGTTTGAAGTCAACCCATTTGACCTAATATTCCATATAGGCCGGGATCAAATTTTAATTAGTTGAACTTCCATTGTCCAGATTTATTTTGATGACTATGCACTTGAAACTTTATTTATTCAAATGTTTAAAATTGTAATGGTCACCCTGCTTCACATTGTGGTCATATCAAAACAACCAACAAATAGTTATGATGAAAAAGTTTTAATCCTTTAACACTGGGAAATATATAAAAATTTTCTTCACACGTGTGCAATGACTCATAAGGCCGTGTTACCATGGTGACCATAGGGCTGAGAGAGGCTGCATCTGTTTGTCAGGGATCAGATTGAACGTTAGCTGGTAACAGGATTTCCTTTTTTTTTTTTTAAACAAAAGACTCTATAGGAACATTAACAGTGTATTACTTTTAGAATTACAGCCATAAATACATTATATGTGGCCAAAAACATTAAATGTTTATTTTTCCATGAATGTGTCTTACGTTTTATCCTGGACTTATTTTCCAGGCTTGATATTTCATTGAGGTTCACATCCTTCCTTTTTAATCATACAGCAAAACAATTACGTCACCGCAGAAATATAAATAAATAAATAGTGAAATGATGTTTCTTCTCAACTCTGACTGTGCTAAAAAAGAAAAATCAATGTATAGCCTTCTGTTTGCATGTTGACAATATTTTTACATTTTCAGAGGAAAATGCCAGAAAATGCCAAATTTAGACTCACTGAGATTGCAGTATATGTGCACACTTATATACATACTGCAAATGCAATAACAATTTACAAACCCACACTTAACACATGTAAGTGGACACGTATGCACAGCTTGCATGGCTGCATCTTTCAGTTGGCTGAGCATTTGTGTTAGTGGCCAAGGATGACAGATTTTGCTTTCTGAATAGGATCGTGAGTGTGCACACCTAGTAATGGCGGCCAGAAGGTATTGGCTCAAAATCTGTTTTCAGTGCCACAGTATGAATTGTGGTGTGAACAGCTCCCTCATAAATAATCTTATAGCAATTCTGTCAATCCCTTTTTTCAGCAAAGGAATAAAATAAAATCTTTAAATTACTAACATACACTCAACCATGATTCTGTCTCTATAGATGATTATGCTTATATGTTTTCCCAAACATCTTACCCTCTCTTTCCTGCACCTCACAAATCTCTCATCCCTTCACTTTCACTTCATTTCCGACTCTGTATCTCCTTCTGTCTCTTTGCTTCCCACACTCAAAGACTCTGCGAACTATTCCTGTGTTATTGAAATGTCATCGGCAGGAGTGGGCAAAGAAAGAATAGATAATGACTACTGTTGGCCAGTGCCATGGCAACTGTTTCAGCTCATGTATGTGCCTGAGAGTAGTGCTGGGCTGCAGGGAGGAGAGATGGGAAGAGGGCGGAGGAGTGGGGGGGCAGAAACACAACACAAACATATGAAGCCATGCCTGACACATGAAGTAAATCCAAAAGGGAGAGATACAAGTGTTTTTTACATGTCAGCATTATCCTGGTCGTCTATGTTCATGTGTTATTTTGGGATGGCTTTCAAAATAACAAGCCCATTGAAAATGCTGCAGTCCGCTGGTAAACACAAACACATCAACAACACACTCGCTTATGTGAGTCCCAGCAGTGCACTGAATCATTCATGCAGAGAAAAGGTGATGGTGCTGGGGGGGTGTGGGTGAAGTATAAATAGCAATTCCACTTTGAACAAAGCAAACACTGCCCCTGTGAAATGAAGGAAGAGAAACCCCTGCTCCTGCATCAACATGAATGTTGCAAACCGGCCAGGTGTTTGTGTATCTGGACACAAAGGATAGAACCTGGGAGCTGATGGATTCATGAGTGAAGAAGCTTGGTTTGGTTCTTCACTCTTCATGTCACTGTGACAGGCATGAAACCTTATCACACAAACAAAGACAGCCCCAGCCCTCTCCTCAGCAGTTCACACCCCTCAGACTACCCAAACACCACATACAGACACGCACTCCTCAGTGGAGTGCTGATACTCAATGGACAAAGGAATTATCCCCAAACAGCTGCTCTCCTATTCAGAAAGGGAGAGGCAAACATTTGTGCATTTGTCTCTGCGGAGGGAGGCAGCACTGACCCACCGACAAAAACACATTTCAGATTTATTTAAGGGAATCCACCCAAACGTGAGCTGAATACTTTCTTACCTTTCTGGGTCTGCCCCTCATCCATGTCCTCTTCCATTGTGCTGATGCTGTTTTAGAGCAACAAGAGATGTGTAATAAAAACACTGCTTTTAGGTTGCAGGCTCAAACCCTTATTTGTTTTTAAGGGATAGTCCACACAGTACCTCTGCCGCCTTTCTCTGGATCTCACTTTCCCACTATCTCTCTTGATGTCCCTACTGAGCGCTGAGATTGCCTGTCAGCTGTGGTTTCCGTCAAGCGTCCGAGTGATGCGAGGGAATCACTGAGTCTTTGTGGTGCTGTCCATTGCAAAGCTGCTGTGGCAAGTGCTGAAAACCCCCTTAGTCCCTGGACCAGGAGGAGGAGGAGGAGAAGGAGGAGGAGGAGGGGAGTAGGGGGGCTGGATGGAACAGAGGGTGGTCTCTATGGTTGGCAGGAAAGCGCATGTGCGACGGAGGGGTGTGCAGCTGAAAAAGGCAGGTGTGTGGATAAATGTGGAAATAAAACAATGACAGCAGCAGAGGATTATAAACTGAGTGAACCTGGAGCCTCAGACTGTGTCATGTTAAGTCAGGGGTGTCCACAAACTCATGTTACCTTTCCTCACCCAACCCACCCTAAACACCCCTGGCTTTCAGTTTGAATGGTTAAGTCTGACAAACCCCCCCACCCCACTGACAGCGGCTCTGCTGCATTAACTGAACCTTTCCTTTAATAAGGGAGGGGGGGGCATCTGATTTCAAAATGGGATTCTCCTAATCTTATTAGTCATACAGATTCAATTATACGATCACCAAGGAGGTGTCATTGGATTCTTATCACAGTATGTGTGTGTTTTGGTGGATTTAAGATCTCAATATATAGAGGCTGATGTGGTTTTCAGTGAGTTGAGGTTTTATAGCCCCTGGCCTCCAGAAACTTTTAACAGCCAATGAGTTCCTCCTTTTTTATTTATTTTTAATTTGTTTCTACTACAAGTACCCTTCTGTGTTAAATTCCATATGAAGATCACGTTTAATTGTCTTTTTGAAAGTAACCCTGCATTCTAACTTCTGACTGTCTTTAGCTTTTAGAGCAAGATAATTTAGTCATTTACTGATAATAAATATTGTGGTTAAAATGCAGTAATCTCTGTTTTGTCCTTCTTTAATGAAAGATCGTTTTGGCTCCTGCAATCATTTATCTGGTCTAAACAATAGAGGTCTGAGAACTGTTCCCTGGGGGACTCCGCAAATCATAGAGGCACATTCTCAGATTCATACATGCCTGTCGTGTCAAAACAACTCATACAACAAATATTCTGTGATCTACAGTGTCAAATATCACACTGTCTAGTAAAACCACACTTGATATTTAATGTAATAAGTATATAACCTTCAATGTTTTTAGTTTGTATTACTACTGTAGTGAAGTCGGAAGTTTATTAGAAACAACTTCCTCAGTAATCTTAGCAAGAGAGCCATTAAGTATTTGCTGCAAATCAGTTTTTTTTTAAATTAGTTTTTTAAAGTCTGATATGTTTAGTCAAGACAGGATGTAAGTAACAGGATTGCAAACTGTTACAACAAGGATCTTTGGTCAATAGTACGAAATCGTGACTTGTATTTTAGGCATTGATGGTTCAAGCAGACCTATTACATTCCTCTGTGGAAAGTTTCTGGTGCTTTCTGTCAACTATATGGGAAGTGGAGTGTAGGTATTATTGATATTCCTGTTAATCATCTGAGCTCATGCAATGTGACTTGACAACAAATTCATACACAGAATGTACAATTTATCAACATTTTATGATGTAAACTGCGTGAGGTGATGGAAGTAGATAGATGGCCGATCACTGAGGTACATTAAGCTGCCGTGGGATGAAAATGTGCTGTATGAAGAAAATGTGACTTGACTTGGAGCACAGACAGATGGTAGAATGGGTGGACGATCAGACAGGTGGATGAGATAAAACTTTAATGATCCCTGTGGGGAAATTGAGCTTCTGCTGCAGCAGAGATGATGAAAAGAGGCAGGAGGGAGGCAAGTGAAGAACTCTGAGAATGATCCAAGTAAACACATTTACCAAAATAGATGGTACATAATACAGGGATGGAAAGTGTTGAAAGCACAGTGAGTGATTGAACAGATCGGCCCCAGCACAAGCGTCAAATAAGGCTACAACCTGCAGCTTTAGGCAGAAATATACTGGAAAAATAGAATGTAGTTTATCTGCCCTAATTAAAAGAATGATGACAGCTGCATTTATAGGCCTTCTGTAGAACAGTACTTCTTTTTATTAATTATGTTTCAAAATTAATGAAATTATTTATTTATATTAAAATGCAATGATTTATTAATGTTTCATTGCTTAATGTAACATTGTTGATTAATAATTAAATTAACCTGCTCTAACATATTGTCCAACCAAAGGTGTCCACCGAGCATCTCTCATTAGTTCAAATGAAGCAGCTTAGCTATGCCATGCACGTGGCAATGATCAATGGACGGCACTGTTGGTGTGTTGTTGGGTGAGACTCTGACGTTTGGTCAGATGGTTGGTGGATCAGTTTGCTCCAGATCAAGCTAACCTTGATTCTTCATCCAACTTATTAGCTTTTCCATCTTCTGCCTCTCTACTTTTTATCTACAGTAAACAAAAGTAAAAAAATGTATCGGAGATTGTGTCCTGACATTTCCCAAAATAATACAAAAAACGACAGAAAATTGCATTGTTTACTGTGTTCTGTAATTTGCAAACTGAGGGCTACCCAGGCCCTCAGCATGATAATTAGGAAGACTCATGAAAAGAACTCAGCAATCCTAGCTTAAAAATAGCAGAGTGAAGCATTGGAGGTAAATATTAGTAATATTAGTTACTTCACTTAGAAGTACTTGCAAAAAATAACTGATTCATTTGATTAAAGTTGAAATTTACCAACACAACTTAAACTTTAGGGTAGCACTGGTTGTCAGCTTCTATAAATGGATTTAACCTGGTATCTTGTTCGGTCCTTTCCTGCTGTTAGTGGTTTCCTTCAGTTTTAAATTAAATTATGTGATTAACTTTGAAACAGACACAACTGTATCTGGATGCACACTATTTCTACAAGTGTATATTTGACATACATTTACTATGTGATGAGTAATTTGACTAAAAGTATTGTTGGAATATGTCTGGCTCAACCGCTTCACAAGATATACTGTTTTTTGTTGTTAGTGCAGAAAAGTAAATGGCAGTCAGTCTGAAAAGTATTTTTCCTGTCATGCTTTTGACCCTTGTGTTTTATTTTTACTTGAATGTATCTTCCTATTGCCAGTGACCTTTCTATTGTGAGTCTACTTGTAGCAGGTTTGCTCTTTCTAAAATGGTGCTGTATTCTTGCATGTGCAGGATGCTGTGGTCTCTGGTCTCACTGTACTGATGTAATTAGACTCCACTAACCACCTGATTAGTATCCAAATGACTAAGGGTCGCTAAGTTTGTTGCAGCCATTGCAGTTTTTGATTAAAATCTTTATTGGCTAAAAAAGTAAAATATTGTTTTGAGTTTTGCTCTGTAAATTAATCTACAACCTCTATATAGCAGCAGTAATGACATTAAGTCTTATTATAAAGGCTGAATTGTGTTAATATCTCATTCAATATTCTATATTTGTTTAAGTTGTATTTTTGCACATGGAACATGAAAAATACAAATTTGCACTTAATTATCTTTAGTCTCATGGGATTAGAAAATAATAATTACATGGGCCAGCAGCTTTTAGGTGACTAATGTTGTTGTGTTGTTGCTCTCTTTCGACTGCTCCCATGAGGGGTCACCACAGAGGATCACCATCTGCTAATTTGATTTAGCCTAGGTTTTTATTTTTTTTATTGTTTTATTTTTATATGCCAGATGATCTTCCTGATGCAACCTGAGTTTAGGAATCGAACCATCAACCTGCTTTACCCCTGAGCCACAGCCCCTCTTGTATTACAAAATAAATTGAAAATTAGTATATAAATAAGTGGATAATAAATATATATCATAATTTGACATGCACATGACGATTCAGACATTTGTGCGCATACCAACACACAGACACACAAAGTGCCCCACCCACGGCCTGGAAAACATGGCTACACACTAGCTTGCAGCGGCTTTGTTAATAGGGGTGGGAGATTTGCTGTTGGGTAAAGGGGGAGGGCTTTTTTTCCAAGGGGAATCCTTAGCTTACAAAGCCTCACAATACCCCCCTCCCTGGCCAGTCATGTTCCTGCCTGTGCTTTCAACAAGGCGTCGACCCCTCCTCCCTGAGCTGCATCCCTTCATCTTTGCCACCACAGCTTCCTTCTCACTGTAGGTACGGTGATGCCGATAGGAAAAATGGCCAGATGGTGGCGAACACTTCCTCGGGATGTTTCAGGCGTCCTTATGGCTTCTAATGTTGATTACCACACATCCCCTTTTTTCAGTGTTATCTGTGTGTTTTGTGCATAAATGTAAGTGTGTATTTACAGGCTTAAAATGAATGTGCTGGCATATTTTCTTTGTATGAATGCATATGCAGTTCAAAAACCCCTGCAGCTGCTGCCTGTGCTCATGACCAACAGAAGGAGCCAAAGAAGCTCACACTAAGCTTATTAATGTCTCCTGTATGCTCTCCAGTATGGGCTCGCTAGTTGCCATAGCAACCAGGCCCCAGTTATTGTTCAGCGGGAGAGGTGTGGTGATGTAGAATAAATATAAACATCACCCTGTAACCCTGGCCACTTATTGTTGTGTTAAGTCAGTTTCACTGGTTATAATGAGTGTTTACACTGTCCTTTATTTTGTATTTTTAAAAAAGATTTAGGCTCATACTCTGGATGCTCAGTATAAAGCAATGTAGCCGAATATAAGAATCAAATCCAAATTCCGCCGCTCGTCACCCAGCGCCTGCAGAAATCAACAGGCGACAGCGCTCTCCATCTTAAGTGCTGATGTGTGTTCACGCCCAGTCAAGCTGAGGGAAATCAAAAGACACTGAAAGATTAAGGAGGTCAGGTTTTTACGGCTCCGCTGGGGGAGACAGGGAAAGAGGCTTTACCAGCCAGCGACTACCATGGAAACAGAATGGGCTGTTTTCTCAGGGACCGTGCGATACGCAAGCTGGTGGAAAATTCTCTAAATGTCAGATATCCACTGTTACACTCAAACAATCACTGATAGATTGATGTTGAAACAAACGTCTCATGTGGCAACGTTTTGTCGGCTTTTGGATTTGTTTGTCTGCAACAGTTGAAGAAGCAAATTTGAGTCCATCCCCGCAGCAGAAATTAGTCTCATGGTCATCTGTGGCTGCTAGTCTGTTGAGGCTGGAAATATCATACCATTCCAGCTTTGTCCTCCTATCTCTCTATTGAAAGCCAAGGCTCTGAGACCACACGAGGAGCAGGGCAGTCAGCCAGAAACACTTACCATCCTGTCGTCCGTTTTTCACGAGCTTCACTGCTCAACTGTTCCCTACACTGAGCATCCATGAGTGCCTGGAGATGTAGGGCCAACAGGGTGAACTCGGTGCAACTGAGTCTGAGTGGCTTTGGCACCAGAAAATGATTAAATGATATTCAAAGCTTTGTATAAAAAGATAATCACAGAGGGGAATACATAAAGAAAAAGGTTCTTTCTTTATGTTGAACATCTATCAGCCACCGGTTTTACAGATGTTTTTTACCTGTGCTTATTAAAGCGAAGTTGTAAAGTTGTTTACACTCTTAACCAGTCTGCAAAAACTGTATAAATATTATATAGAACAAGCTCTTGAAAATTAGGCGAAAACTATATTCTGTACTTTTGATATAAGAGCCCAACTGATATGGAATTTTGGATACCGATACCAAGGCTCATTTTGCAAAATAAATAAATTGGTTGCACGCAAAATTGAAACTATCACCAGCAGTAAATTATACCTCTGTACGTTTTGTTTGCTGCAGTCACTGATGCGCAGTAGGTTAAGTATATAAGATGACAGGACACAGCCCTGAGGTGATTCAGTAAAAAGGGCACAACATATGGTGCCATTAACACTGACACACAGGATCTGTCTGTTCAGTAATTCAATATCCATCCAGCAAAACAAGGATCCATTTACTGGTTTAAATATGGGAAATTGGTTCAATGTGGGATTAAAAACTCTCCTGTAAAAGCGTTAGTAATTTAATACACCTCCCCATCATCTTATTTCAGTTTTTTAATCTCTTTATAAGCAGTGACGTAAGATACAGGGTTATATAACCATTATCACACGTTTGGGATTTAATGAAGACGTGTCAGCACGTTACCACGGGCAAAGTTCCACTGACATCTTAATAGAGAAACAGCATCTTCAGCCTGTCATCAACAACTAAACCAAAGCCAGTGACTCATCACCCAGTCGTGCTAATATGCAGCATCTCCAGTCCATACACAGTAAGTGCTGAAGTCTAGAGCTACAAAATTGGGAACATTAATGATTAAGAAACAAGACAGGGAACAGCTTTCTTTGTCTACATGCTACTGCCAGGTTATTTTTAATTTAGGAATCATTTCTCAGGATTCCTCGCCTCAGGTGGAACCGGCCATGGAGAATCTAATGAGTCACAGGATGAATTTACCAGATTTAGTGAGGTGGTGGATTACAATTTCTTAGAAAGCAATTTTGCCTCAGTGATAGAAACATTTTAGGGAGGGTGTAAATTCAGAAATGGGGTGAAGTGACTCTGAATTTGACAACTTAGCTCACTGAATAACAGAAAACAGTGAACGTAAGCAGGTCAATACACTGGTGTGTTCCCTCTTTTTATCAATGACTCTCTATAGCAATGGATTTAGTCCCGAAAAACCTCTTAGAAGAGCTCACGCCTCCCAACTGCCACCTACTGGCGCAAACAGATACAGTCCAGACATGATGTTGAGACACTGTGGCATTATATAATCCATTCAAAAACAGTGACGTCATCTGTTTTTCTAATCAAGTTACACTCTAGTACACATTTCTGTGGTGTAATAGTTAAAAAGAGGCTAGGATTATTGTTTCTTCAGTTTCCATAGGAGCGTGTGACGGGCTGATGCATAGTTATCTCCTTAAAGGAAACAGGGGCCTCACTCCCTGTCAACTCTAAAACACTAGAAATTGTAAAGTTGAGTTGCAAGGATCAGCTGCAGGTATGTTCACAATGAAACATTCACTCTAATCTTTTACAGAATACATACATATTCATTATCATTAATGTACAGCATTTTAAATAGCACACTGCCTCTGAGGGAGTCAAATATATCTGTATCTTCCTTTGGCAGAGAAAATGTCAAAATGATTAATTGGGTTTTCTCACCAGTCTGTTTCAAAAGAAGCAACTGAGCCTGAGCTCGTCCACCACTGAAACAGAGAACAGTTGATCCTTCAGACAGAATAAAACAGCAGATAACTCGTGATCTCTGCATTTTCATCACTTTATTTGCTACTGTTTGTTAAAAACATTAGAAATGGCTGTATCCAAATGAGCATCATTGTCATTGGATCGATTCATGTACTGAGGCTTACGTGATGTGGTGCCTCCAGATGCCAAACTACCAAGATTAGGCTTCTTTTAAAACGTCCTGCCAAACAAAGAAATGGTCAAATTCTGTCACATTCAGAGAAATAAAACTTTATATATCTAACTCCTACTCTCTATACTCAATATACCAAACCCTGTCAGTCCACGTGACCATGATTTTATCAAGGAAATGAAGCTCTCTCCCTTGGTTGACTCACCAGGGTTGCGAGCCCTCTCTGTAGCCCTGCTCTCCAGGTGCCTGTGGAGGATGACCTCTGCCTGTCCGTTATCCTCAGGTTGTTCTTGATTGCTTTAGAGGCCGTGGAGCGGACCAGCGTGGGCAGCCGCTCCTGGTGCCCTCGGTCAGTGAATTCAAACTCTGGACCCTCAGCATTCCTGAGACTAAATCATAAAGATTGTATCATGCACACAAATCTAGTGTTTGTCATGGTTGTGTCTGTATTGTTTCTACATTGTGCAAATGTACAGTTTATCTCTTTTAGTGGCCGTGTATTGTTATTAAAATATATTCTTTGCTCAGCCACAGTCACTGTCCAGCATCAAATCGAATATGAAGCAGTGATGTGTGTAAGTTGTAACTGCAGTGTCCCTGATCTTTCAGGAAACATCAGTATTAAAGAAATCTGAGAATGTGATGATCAACCCTGTTACTGGAAGGTTACACTTACACACAGTATTTTTCCATGTAACACGTCTCAGTTATGTCTCAAAACAAAATGCATCGTTTCAGTGCTTTACTGACACTTTATGTTCCAACATCAAACCACACAGCACAAAATAAATAGAAAAGGCTGCTCCTGGTTTACAGTGAATGGTTCCATCCACAACCTCCTTTGTCAAATGCAAACTCTGCTTCTGTAAAGACTGGGACAGTTTTAATAGTTATCTGACTCAAAATAAGAATAAAATAAGATAATTTAGATGTTCTCATATTATCATCCTACCATCATCCTACCCGCTCTATCTGGCTCAGTTCCTCTGCTTGGCAGAAAGTGATGTTCCTTCGTCAAATGAATGCTCTGGGTAGTGTTGGGGGTAATAACGAGAAAATAACTCTGCCACAAGGTAACCACTGGAAAAATCCCTGGAAATAAAAGAATGAGGGAAAACGGTATATTTTATGTTGAGCAATTGGCTGCCTCTGCAGCTATGGAGAGCACTTGTTTTCTAAATATACTTGTTATAGTATATTATATATTTTGTGGATGCATGATTCTGACATGGTCGGTGTTCTGTGTGGTGCTGCAGGACTTTGTATCCTTGTTGAGCTACGTGCTTTACAAATACATTTTTGTTATTGTTATTCATGGATCACACTTTTAACTCATTTAATGTTTTAATAGTAAAATACTTTGGAGGGGTTTTAAATGTTGTTATCTATTAGATGTGTAAAATAGGTTGAAAAGCGCTGAGTGGGCTCATTTTTGTTTTTAACTGCAATAATATTTAAATGCTGCTTCTCCATAACATAGATAAAAATCTCAGCCAATTAGCAGACCAGCTCAGCCCTGAATGATGACACGTCGATGGTTATGTCAGCAGGAGTTTCCAACCTCACAAAGTGTTCAGTGTGGAGTGCAGAGTTGAATCAATTAGAGCTCATCTTTACCTGTGCGTATTCTTCGGATTAAAATGTCAGGTCGAGGCTCTGCAGCCACTTCACCACTTCTCTTGTCACTCCTCTAGGTTTAGGACACTGAGCATAAGACATGCTGCTGAACAAACCTACAGACTAATGATGTTTTTGTGGCTGTAGAACAATTATAAGATCATGATGGAGCCACTATTGCATTTCACGCACGTACTGGACTGTCTTTGTTGTCCATGACAACAAGACACATCTTACTGGTCCTGTTGCTGCACACAAACAACAATGACAGTTTACTGCCCCCCAGAGGAAGTAGCCGCAACACAAAATCTTCAGATTCTAGTAATTCAAACTTATTTTTACCAAACTAAAGAGCTATTTAGCATTCATAATAATAATAATAAATAATATAGTAATCATTTTAAATAACTGATATAAAATAAATAAATATCACTCCTCCTGTAGATAGCTTAGAAGCTGATTTATGAATTATTTAATGATTGACAATACAGTATAAAAACAGTAGTCATACCATCAAATATATGAGAAAAGGACAAATACAATTCACTAACAAATACTTCAGGTTTTCTTGTAGATGCTTACACCTACATTGTAGTATGTTATAAACTATTTTCATTTTTTGTATTTTAATTTGTACAGTAAATAGGGCTACTTAAAAAATAATAAAATAATAGTAAAAAAGTTGAATATATGGAATAATGTTGTCACTACAGACACATTGTATACTGGCACTGAGATAATTCAATAAAACTCAGCTCAATATTTTGAAATCTTATTTCATATATATGTATATATTTCAATATTTTATCTAAATGATTATTTATTTCACAAGCATTATACTATGTACATTATATTATTGTACTACACACAGAGATGGAAACAAACACTTGCTGCTCCACCCACTCATATTTTCCAACTGAAACTTTCCAGTAACGTCAGCCTCCTCCAGTTGTCGCTATCTAATAATCCAAGCTTAAACTAAACTATTTTGTTTTTGTATTTTTGAATCAGTAATAGTCCTACGGCACATCTAATATTAAACTTCAGAAACACAGCCCACACTTTGGAAAATGCACCAAGTGTCAAAACTATTTTAATTATCTAAAGGTGTGCAATGCAAAACTACAAGAGTACTCATTCATATATACACATTATATATAGATATTTTGTCACATTATAATCGTATGCAAAGTTTTCAAAGTGCTCCAGTCTTTTAATACATTTTGTAAACACTACAAATCTGAAAAGCAAATAAAACTATTCAAATATGTTTTAATCATAATGGGGAAAGGCTGAGACTGAAGGCCTATTTTAACAATATCCTGCGTCACATTCATCCAGGTCCAAACATACACACATGGGGACTAGTTCAACACAACTGTCAGGCACTCAGTGGCAGCTCCTAACTAATTTCAATAAAATGTTCATACCACATTGAGTAGCAGCTAAAATTAAAGGCCAGAGGAGTTCATGGAGTTGATGTGCAGATTGTTTCGAAATGCATTTTTCATAAGTCCCATTAAGGGCAGACATTTTGTTTGTTCTGCCTTTCACTTGTACTGCAGGTAGTTCCTGAGCCTGTTGGGCAGAGGCAGGTGGGAGAGAAGGTGGAGTCTGTCTCGGCCGACGCAGTTCCTGATGCACTGACGACACAGTTGGCTCAGGAGTCGTGGTGTAGCTGTGTGGAGGAGATCATGAAAACTCATTGAAGATGCTTGTAGGATTCATGAAGTCTACTTTCAAAGTTGTACAATCAAATATCCAAGACAGCAAACAAATCCGAGCTACAAGTCGACTTGTACCTTCATAGACGAGAAGGAAACCCTCCGTTATGCTGCTGGGTGGAGCCATGTCCACCGGTCTCTGAAACTCTATATTCCTGGCGTTAATGTCGGCACCAAAGTCCAGCAGCAGCTTCACCGCCGCTGTGAAGTCTTTCTCTGCAGCTGCATGTAGCGGTGAATCCAGGGATTTGCCTTTCTGTACATTGGCACCTAAATGGAGGATAAACTTGATTATCCCTCCCTGCCACTGTCCGATAAGAAAACTCCTGCTGTTAACTATTACTACCATGTCTTGTTCATTTTAATTCAGGCATAGGTTTGTGACTGCCTTTCCTAATAAATGGCCCATGCATTTTTATTCACCTGACTTCCCACAGCTACACTAACCATTTCCTATATTTCTCAGAAATTACTTTTGAACAGCCGTGGGAGAATTGAAGTGAACTGGTTACTTTCAATCAAAGTTTGGAAGCAATATGGGTTCGCAAATACTTTGAAAAAGGGATTAATCAGCTGTGGGCTACATGTGATGGATTTGTCGCTCCATACATTACTCAAAATGCAGTGTGTTTTAACCAATCTGTGTTTTTATAAGTGAAATCTCTTTATATAATCTCTAGGTAGAGTTTTCACTTACAAAACATAGTTGTTTAGTTAAGCTTTGGGGGCTTTGACAAATGATTGACATGAACTCTTATTTACACTGACTAATCCTATTTATTTGCTTATATAAATGTTTTATTGTTCTGTTTTCTATTGTTTTATTCTCACTGTGTCTGTTCAGTTTCTTCTTTGTAAAAACACTTTGTAAAATTGTTAAGAATGAATTTGAGCCAGTCCATGACGCTAAAAAAATAAATATTGTTCTCCACATTTTAGTATAGAGTTAAGGTCTATATTTCCCTTATCAGTGTACAGTATATGTCCTTGTGTTTCTCTGTGTGTTCATCCAGGTTGTGTGAATGACTGCATGGAAATATAAAGATCCACACTGTGCTGTGAGCCGACCTTCCCTCAGGAGTTTCCTGGCACACTCCAGCTCCTGGCAGACGCAGGCCATATAGAGCGCCGTGCCCAGGTGAGGAATGTCCATGTCCACATCTGCCCCCCAAGTCACCAGAGCCTCCACACAACCATAATGACCTGAAAGTAATGGAGCATAAAGACGGAGGTAATGGCCACCTACTCAGTGAGGGTTTGTTAAAAGAACAGCAAAGGACACAAATTCAAGTGGAAGCCATAGCTCAATTATTGACAACCAAACTTACTGGAAAAAATAGTACTTGACATACTGTACATGAGTAAGATAAGACAGAAACCATCTTTGAGAAAAATGTGCTTTGACTTGTTAGTTTGGCCCATGTCCCATCCACTCACATTGAGGAGGTGGGGTTTATGACATATACTGCATTCAGCCACCAGGGGGTGATGTTTAACTTTATATACAGATTTTCAACATATTTAAAAAGTAAATGGGGAAATTATATATTAGTTTATGAATTGTGTCATACATGCACAATATTTTGTATTAATATACCTTTGCTTGTGGCTTCATGGATGGGGGAGGGGTGGTACACCAGACTTTGGGGTTTTGCTCCATTTTCCAAAAGAATTTCTGCGCATGCCACGCTGCCCACTGTACAGGCGTTGAACAGAGGGGTGACTCCATCAATTGTCAAGGCGTTGACCTGCGAACACATTTTCTGTTTATTGTTATTTTTAGGCCTTGTTTAACCATGCAGGTTGACAAATAGCAACAGCCTGGGGGAACAGTTGAGGGGGAACAAAAATCTTAATAGCTCTGCAGCGACTGTAGATGGAGCACGGCGCTCCGCTCGTTTTTCACCCCCTGCCCAGATTTTCCCAGCCGTGGAAATTACATTTGACCCGTGCAGTATAGCAACATTAAAGAGTCATAAGGTCAATGTGTGACTTACATTTGCTCCTGCATCGATGAGAGCTCTGGCACAAGAGACGTGGTTCCCAAGACAGGCTTCATGAAGGGGCGACACGTGGTCTATCGTCAGGACATTCACACTGTGACCCTGGAAGAAAAGACAGTCAAGCAGCCGCAGACGTTAAGTGTTTTAAGGGGCATTAACCTTTGTTACACTCTGTTGGTGAATCCATGGAAGTGCAGAAAGATTGAAAGTCCTTTTATAAAACAGACACATCCTCTTTAGTTCTTTCTCAGTCATTGACAAGCTGCAGTCACGTTTAAAATGAGAAAATTAATTACCATGTCAAATAGTGCTTTGTCATGAGCTTGTTGGAGTTAAAAACTAATCATTGTCGAGGTTGTGGCTGGAATATTTTGTAATTTACTGCCTTCATACAATTATTCAAAGGAAGGGATGTTATCCAAATTTAGTGAAAAAGATGATAAATCAACTGTAAGAGGTATTAACCCCAGATAACTTTATAGAAACCCCTGACCTTCATTGAACCCTCTATCCGTGTCTGACTGACAAAATACACGTTAAACAGAATGAATCTCACAAGGGATAGCAACGACAGAGCCCAGGTTGTACACATTAGTACTCTCCTAGGATTTTATTCTCCTCACCTGTATGATGAGGGTCTTCAGGGCCAGGAGGCGGCCCTGACTTGCAGCATCGTGGAGGGGTGAGCGGTCTGCCCAGGAATCTGGGACAGGAATGAGAATTCAGAGTTTACCTCTACTTATATTTGTCATCATTTACCTTATGCTTTCATCCAGAATCATTGTACCCATGGTACAAGAAGAGGACGATTATTTGCATATTTTATTTGCATAAAACTGGCAGCTTGAATTGTGAGATACAATGTTTACTGAATATAAACGAAGCGTTATTTGGAAAACAGCTGTTATGTTATGTCTTTTTAGAATTATTTAACTTCTACTTTACTCTGATAGTTGAGTCTACTTATCATGTATTACAACAAATTTCTTTATTTCTTAACCATTACAACAACTTGATGAATCCCAACCACAGATGTGAACTCACAAAATCTCCATCCTCTTAATATATTTATCAGATTTATATTCTACCCCTTCTAGTCACGTTTTAACCTTCATCTTAAAGCCTTTTATGCATTGTGCATAATATGTGCTTGAAAGGTTCTGATGCATTAATAAACTCAACACATTCACTTTGAAAATTGATATAAACTTGACAAACTGTCTGCAGACAGTTTGATGTCATTCGGGGGGTAAAAGATAAAAAATCCATTTAGCAAACCTGGGTCAATGTCCAGAATAACCGCTGATGCATTCCACACGTTGTCATCATCATTATCACATTCCACCGCTTCAATCATAATTTAGAGATCACAATCAATCTAATGTTTTCTATTAAATTAATGCCATTTCATTCATGCAGACTATTTTCCTTGACTGACATTGATTTCAAATATGGGTATAATACACCAGCTATAGAGGCATTAAACAGATTTCTTCGAACACGCAAGGCCATATCTCCAGGACCATGACTAATACCCTAATCTCATCTAATTAGTATTCCTCAGACTGTGTCTCCTTTAAATTAAACATTTCCCTTTGAATGATAGCTACAGATTATGTTGTCGTCGCCGTCTCTCGTCACACAGAATGTGCCTTCCTGTCGTACCGCCTGCCCCTGAGAACGGGGAGTGTTGTTTTGGTTTGCTGTGTACAAGTGTAAAAGGGTGCACTGCATAGCTGGGAATGGAAAGTAGGGCAGGATGGGGGAAGTGAGGGAGCGCGAGGGGAGGTGTTGGTGGGGGTATCATGACTGTGTTCTATTAATACATAAGAGGAAAAAGAGCTGCCAGCCCACAGTGTCTTCATTTAATATTGAATGTGCAGTTCATGGTTTATAAGTGGCGATTAAGCTAATAAAAAGGAAACTGGGCTATCATTCATATCTACATGTATATTAATGTGAATACAATTACTGGCTTTTACACTCACTGGATTAGCAATGCAGTATCTATTGCTCAATTGTAAACATGGAAACTGTGAGTGTGTGTGTGAGCAGGGAGCACTTCATCATTTTGTAGGAAACAACATTGATATTTTCGATGACCTTTTGTGCCTAAGGTTAAATGTGTATTATTGTGGTTCTACTTTCCACCAAACTTTCCTCAAAGGCACAAATACAAACAAAGAAACCACCTAAAGACAAGATAAAACTCTCCAGGGGTTTCTCCGAGTACTCACTGTGGTGTTGACCATATTCATAGAACTCTGCTGATATCCTCGCTGCCTCTTTACGGTTCCCACGGATAATGTAGAAGTATGTCAGCAAGTTGAGAGAAATCTTAACAAAGAGCTTGAAGCAGAACAGTGCCAAGATGCTGAGGTAAACATTGGACAACTGGGCCGCGAAGGGCTTGTTGGTTAGCTCCTCTGTTTGGTCTGACATTTCTTCTGGCAGGTTTACAGGAGAGCTGCTGTGATGAGAGCGGGATCAGATGCTACACTCCAGAAAGCACAAGAGTAGCCTTCTTTTTCTCCCAGGGCACTGACTGCTCGGCTGGTCCTGACAAAGTACAGACTGGAAAAAATGCTTTGCAGCTGCTACTGTGCCTGAGAGTAACTACTGCAATGTTATTGTACAATGTGAGGGGCTGTGGGGGGTCTGTGGTCACAAGTTACATTTCAGTCTCACATGATGCCTATTTCAACCACAAACGTGACATTAAATATGTATTTTTTAACCTATGA